TTTAATATATTTTTATTATTTTAATAATGTTTTATAATATATTTCATAAAGTCTTATATAATATTTTATAGTAATTATTTTAGCATTAACTAATCAATAATTGATATGTATTTAATTACAAATATATATAATTATATTTATGTATAAATGATAATTTAATTTTCATTTATATTTGAAAAACCATTCTGATGGTGTGTAAATTGAATTTAACAACTTTCATATTCAGAGTAATTACTGAAATTATTTGTATTTTTTCAAGTATTTATTATTAGCATTTTATGTACATGCAAAAATTTCATATTAGGAAAATTTATGTAATTTGAATGAATAATAATATGCATATTAGCAAAAATCAGTAACATTAATGATACATACATGTTTAATTAAACTTGTTCATTTAGAAGTAATTATTAAAATTTGATCACAGTGCAACTTTAAAATTGAAACTTGTAAATTCAAATTTAAAATTTATATTAATTTGTAAAGAATAATTTAAATGATAATCAATTTATTTTTCCTTACTATAATCAATAATAGCAGATTATTTTATGCATTACTTATTTTTTGCCTAAAGTTAAACCGTATTAAATATTATAAAATTTATCAATATATGTGGTGTAAAACTATTTTGCACTTTGAAGAAACTGGCATGTGAAACTATTTTCTATTTTGATGCACGTATTGTGCAAATACAACGTGTAGTTGATAACCTCATTAAACGAATGAATGGAATATTTTTTGTTTAATTAGAAAGTAAATTCTAGAAAAAGACAAGAGGCGTAAAGGTAAATACTAACTAATTTTTAATTATGTACTTCGTATTTATTTGAAAAATAAATTTTTGTTTACATGTTTATAAATTATTATGAAATAAGTATGTTATGAAAATACACATTCTTCGAAAGTAATTATTTAGATACGTGTATAAATACTTTTTACAAATGTATATTTTATAAAGTAATATAAGTTTAGAAAAATAAATAAAATTTAATAATACAATTATTGTAAATTTTATAATAATTTATTCGTATAAAGTTTTCGAATGAAAATTGTTTCATTGATATTCTATATTTTCCTTGTACAATTTTAGTATGATTTTCTTCAGTAATAATAATTTATGAAAATTTTAATATGAAAATATTAATTCTATAAAATATTGTATTCTTATATTTATTCATGAATTATGTAAATAATTTAGAAATTGATGTTGTTTTATACTTTATGTATACCATATGTGATCATGAGTTATCATTAGCAGTTGTTTTAAATATAAAATCATTTGTTTTTATATATAAAGTATAAAATAAAATAGAATATAATTTAATGTTAAAAATAAAAGTATGGTTGATTTTTAATCTTTAATGTATAACAAATTCATTAAAGATTTAAATAAATGAGGTAATTAGAAATCCTTTGTAGGTTATCATATTAAGTGATCATATATAGTTATCTATATGAGTGTACATCACTATTTAAGAAGATAAGGCAAGCAATATATTCAGGATATATTGCTTTTGTATTGAAATGCCTTCTTTGTTGGTTCCTCTGGAATCAGTACGAGGAATGACGTGTTTGGATCGTACTGCATTTACACACATGGTGGAATTACCATTTCTAAAAATTCATGATGTTATGTTATCCAAGATAAAACCAATTGTGAAAAAGTATTTTTTTAAAACCAGGAACTTCAAACCAGTTCAAAGTACCATCAATGAAACTATTATTTATTTGAATCCAATGCTAATAAAGACATTTGAAGATTTTATAGAAAATGAAAGGAAAAAATTAGAAATATGTGCACGGTTTGGAATAACAAAAGTAGTTTTGAAATATGATAACTGGCAATCTTATGATATATTAAGAGCTATATTACCTAAGGAAATTAAAGTACCAACTGCATTTAGCATAATTGGCCACATTATGCATTTAAATCTGCGTGATGTGCATTTACCATATAAGACTGTTATTGGTCAGGTTTATCTTGATACAACTCCAAATGTCAGAACAGTTTTGAATAAAATAAATATCATCAATACAACTTTTAGAAATTTTAATATGGAAGTCCTTGCAGGTGATAAAAATACCATTACAACAGTAAAAGAATATGGTTATACATATGAATTAGATTTTTCTCAAGTTTATTGGAATTCTCGATTGAGCACAGAACATCAAAATTTAGTGACATTTATGAAACCTAATGATGTTTTATATGATGTATTTGCTGGAGTTGGACCATTTGCTATTCCTGCCGCTTCTAAAGGAGTTAAAGTATTTGCAAATGATTTAAATCCTGAATCATACAAATGGTTACGAAAAAATATTGTCATTAATAAAGTTAAAACAAATATTCAGTCTTTTAATATGGACGGTAAAGATTTTTTAAAAACTATTTTTAAAACTGATATTTTAAATAGACGAGCCATTAATGAAATTGGTATGGAACATATAGTAATGAATTTACCAGCACTTGCTGTTGAATTCTTGGATGTGTTCTTCGATATTTTTAATGCAAATGAAATTAAACAAATATGTCATCAACCACCAACCATTCACTTATACTGTTTTGTGAAAGTGAATAAAGGAGAAGATGCTTGTAAACTTGGACAACTATTGGTAGAAAAAAAACTTGGTTGTACATTAAACTCTGATTCTTTAATTGAGTTACATTATGTTAGACATGTTTCTACAAATAAAGGGATGATTCGTGTATCATTTTTATTAACTGAAAATATATTAAAAGGCGAGGAGCCAGCAACGAAGAAAGTAAAGATAAAAGATGATTTTGATATACTTGAAAATGATAATATTACAGAGAATAATGGGAAAGAACAAAGGACTGCAAAAAAAACAAATGAAGAAAAATGTATTCAAAGTAGCAACAGTTCGTAGTGTTAAGCTAAAGGCAACAGCACAAAAAGTAATAACCAATTTGGAAAAAGTAAGTGAATTCTTATGAAAAGTGTGAATGACAATATACTTAAATATTGGTAATGGATTATACATATAAACCTGTTTGTTGAACAAGCATTTTTAAGTATTTATACTTGGACTTATAATGTGCATTAAAAGAATGATTTTTGTATCATACATAGTAATATTTTATATAACTTTTCTTCATTTTAATAGTTGGATTTAAGAGAAAATAAAGTAACTAATGGGGACAAGAATAAAAAAGCACAACTCGACCAACTGTTTCAAGAATTATGTGAAGAAGTAGAGCAGTGCATATTAAAAAAGACAGCAGTTAATCCAAAGCAAGAAAAAAAGAAGAAAATGCAGAATGCAGCACCAGTACAATCTGACATGACTTCTCTTCTGGAAAAAATGAAAATTTGATGAATATATTTAGTTTAATGTTTAAAATAATTGTATTTTGCTAATAAAAAGTGTTTAGTAATATTAATTTACTTTATACAATAGCAAAAATATTGTAAGTAGTAGGTTATGTAAGATTTTATTGAACAAATTTTTAATGAAATAAATATAACTGAAACTACAAATTTAATGGGCTAATAATTTATTTCTTATCACCTAATTTTTATCTTATCTAGGCATAAAGATCTTAAGGAGTATTATAGTGGAATTTTATTTGCTTAATGATAACTCTATTTTTATTTGAACTTTCAATAAAGAATTCATAAAATCTAGTAAACGTTATTCACAGTTATTTATACGAATGTTTTTTAATGTGCACAGGAAAATTATGATGGAGACTGATCACACTGCTGGTTTGATTGTGATAGGAGATGAAATTCTACGTGGACAGATTATAGATACAAATACATCATATTTGGCAAAAAAATTACGAGCTTCTGGTATTAAACTTCAAAAAATAACAGTGATTCCTGATATTGTATGTATTATTTTATTGGAATTTTTTTATTAAATATATTAAATATTTCAAAATAGAATTAGCTATTTATTATATTTAACTATTTTAAAAATGTTAAAGAATTTATATGTTAATTAAATTTTGAAAATTAAATTTTATTAAAAATTTTAAAATTGCTTTATTTTGTTTTTAATTCTAATAAAAATAGAAAATTAATAAAATCTTCATTTTTGATTTTTGATATTAAAACATTGAATATATTTTTGTATTATAGATATATCTATGTGTTCTCATTGAAATCTAAATTCTCACTACGTGTAATGTAGCCTTTTGTATTAGGTAGATGATATTGCAAAGACTACACTTGATGCTTCCAAAGAATATTCTATTGTATTTACATCTGGTGGTGTTGGACCTACGCATGATGATGTAACATATGAAGGTGTAGCTAAGGGTTTAGGATTAAAACTTGAACGACATGAAGAATTAGTTGATATTTATGTAAATCTTTTTCCCAACAACAAAGAAGCTCAACACCTTGCTATTGTACCAAAACCTTGTGAACTTATTTATGTTTATTCATCAAGTAAGTACATTTTTTTAATAAAGAAAGATTCGTATATAATTATACACCAAATTAATTGTAACAAAAAATGAAGTTTAGAAATTTCTGTAAATATTAAAAAATTATATTAATATATTTATAGACAAATAAAGTTTGATTAATAAAGCTTTAAGTATAGAAAATAATTTTTAGAGAAATATGCTGTTGTAAAAGCAAACAATGTATACATGCTACCAGGCTCTCCAAAATATTTTGAGTCTTCTGTTGATGCAATTATACCTCAATTAGAAGGGGGTACCCCTTTACACTTCGAACAAATAGATATTAATTTAAGCGAGTTGTCGATAGTGACTATCTTGAATGAACATGCAAAGTATTGGAAAGATAAAGTTTATATTGGTAGTTATCCACAATCATCATGTTTTACAAGTATTACATTAGAGGGGAAACAAGATGATGTTTTAGAAGCAAAGGGGAGACTTCTATATTTTTTACCAATTCAAAAGGTTCAAAATTTAAAAAATGGATTTAGTTATTATCATGCAGAAAGTGTTCTTAAAGATGCTGAAAATGAAGCACATATAAAATGTGCATTAGATATTCTGCAAAAGTGTTATAAAATGTGAGTATCTTAAATTAAAAATATATAAAGTATTTTGTAATATGATACATATGCACGAAAGAGCAGTGATTTAATATGCTTATATTTAATATATATATTTCAAAGGTATAAACCAGAAGAAGTCTTTATAAGTTTCAATGGAGGGAAGGATTGTACAGTTGTGTTACATTTAGCAGCCTGTATTGCGAAGTTACAAAATATCTCATTATTATGCTTATATGTGACCGCAGAACCATTTCCAGAGGTAACTCTAAATAAAATATTATTAAATATTTTTTTTATTTATTTGCTAATGAGACAATATTATTTAAAGTCGAAGTTATAACAAATTAAAAATTTGTTTATTATAAGAAATTTGCATATTTTTACACATTCTATCAAGGTATTTTCTTTACATATTCATAAGTATGTAAATAAATATTATATAAATATATTACATTAGAACAAAAATGATATGTAAGGTAATTTTTAAATAGTCCATTTATTTCTTTTAAAATTATTTGGCTTTTTAAAAAGATTTCATAAGTTTTTAGTCTTTGTAATAATAATAAAACTATAGAAAATATTTTATATGGCAGTTATAATATTTTTATATATATATATCTTGCAAGTTTTACTCTGAAATATATTTAAATGTTTCAAGGTGGATTCATTTGTGGAGAAAGCTGCCCAATACTATGGTTTAGAATTAATAAGTAAGAAATCTCCTATGTTATTAGCATTATGTTCATTACTGAATGAAAAGTCAAATTTAAAGGCAAGTCTTATGGGAATGAGGAAAGGTGATCCTGGTACAGAAAATCTAGGTGCCTTTACACCAACTGATTCAAGTTGGCCAAATTTAATTCGTGTAAATCCAATCTTAAATTGGTCATACGATCAAGTATGGAAATTTTTGTTGAAGCAAAATGTACCTTATTGTTCGTTATATGACAAAGGGTATACAAGTTTAGGAACAAAATCAACGACATTACCGAATCCACGATTAAAAGATCCTAATAATTCGTTATTATATTTGCCAGCATATACTTTAACCGATGAGTCTGCAGAGAGAGAAGGCAGAGTGTAATTATTAAAAATATAGAACAACAAAAAATTTTACAGTATTTTTGCAAATTTATAAATATAAATATAAAAATACTTTAATATATTAAAACTTTTTACTATTATATATTTTTAGAAATGTACAATTTCTAAATTCAGGATTTAATGTTCCTAATTGTAATTATTTGATCATTGTGTAACAAAATGTTCTCGTGATAGTATTAATAAAAATGTAACTAAATTAAGTTAAAGATTAATTAACAACAATTTAGGAAATAAAGCGAAGATAATTTTAAATTATAAAATTGATTTTATTATTTCTGAATAAATATTAACAAACAGAAAATACATTTCTTTATATTTTCGTCTATACATTAATGAATGTTTCAAAATATTTCGATATGGAAGAAGAACTATATTAAATAAGAATGACTATCTATCCTTGATAAAATCGAAATTTTGATTGACGATCAGTATGACTAACTTTTATGACGTTGACGCTTCCTGCTGACCCAGAGCAACTGGGGGATGATCTCCGGCTGATCCTCATACGAAGCCAGCAAAGCTAACAGATTAGGGTTTCGTTGATTCAAGGGAGTAGAAGGAATGGTATAAAATAGCGGGCTGATCAACCGTATCAAGGAGAGGGGCTGGCAGACGGAGTGACCGACATGTCCAACGATAGTATTCATTGGGAGGCAAGATACCTACCAGCAGGACCACCACGTTTGCTGGGATGGAACGTACCTGCCGAAGAATTAGTTCACATACCGGAACATTGGCTGGTCTATCCCGAGCCGAACCCCTCCCTTCATTATTTATTGGCCCTCCTGTACATTCTTTTTACTTTCCTTGCTTTACTCGGAAATGGCTTGGTGATATGGATCTTTTGCGCGTAAGTTATTTTCTTTGTCAAAAGATTCATTGTTTTACTATTCTTCTCATACATTATACAATTATTGATACAAAAATAACGAAGTTTTATTTTCGTTTTATTATCTTAATGAATAAAAGCATAAACTATATTAATTATCATTTCCTAATTTTCTGTCATATTTTTCATTCAAGTGCCAAGTCGTTGAGAACTCCTTCAAATATGTTCGTTGTGAATTTGGCGATCTGCGATTTCTTTATGATGATCAAGACGCCTATCTTCATATACAATTCCTTTAACACCGGTTTTGCTTTGGGAAATTTGGGATGTCAAATATTCGCTGTCATCGGTTCTCTGAGTGGAATTGGTGCTGCGATAACTAATGCAGCTATATCATACGATAGATATAGGTATAGAATTTTATTTAGTTTTACTAGAGCAACATTTAATAGATAAACTTAAGGTAAATTAGTTCTGTATCACAGTCCCGTAATTTGCTGTTTTAAAATATTATTAAAGAATGGAAATATAAAAAATTCATTGTATAATTTATAAGCTTTAAAATTCTTTAATTTTTATGAAAATTAGATTTTTTGCAAGAGAAAAGAAAGAATGGCGACCTGTGCTCTTCGGAATAATGTTCGAAGTTATTTCGAAACTTTTACTACAAACATTATTTGATGTGTTCATATAAAAATCATATTTTCCCAGTTATTTATTAAACAATAACTTTAGATTATTTAAATTTTCAGATAACACTTTATATATATATTTTTCATTAACATACTTGGAGAGTATTTTCTATAATGATTTTTCAACTTTGAATCTTTATAGTCTTTATAGTCCTAATAAGTTCTTAATCTGTATAATCTTTGTCTAGTAAATAAATGATATTTCATTTTAGCACAATAGCAAGACCGTTGGATGGCAAGTTATCACGCGGTCAAGTGATTTTGTTTATTGTGCTGATCTGGACATACACCATACCTTGGGCTTTGATGCCTGTTATGGGAGTATGGGGACGTTTCTCACCAGAGGGTTTCCTTACCAGCTGCAGTTTTGATTATCTGACTGATACCAACGAAATACGTTATTTTGTTGCTACCATATTTACCTTCTCTTATTGCATTCCAATGATGCTTATAATCTATTACTATAGTCAGATTGTCAGCCATGTCGTAAATCACGAAAAAGCGCTTCGAGAACAGGCAAAGAAAATGAATGTCGATAGCTTACGGAGTAACGCGAACACAAGTTCACAAAGTGCTGAAATTCGTATAGCAAAGGTATTTGACATTGTATTATTTTTTTTTTTTTATAATTTTCATGTTTTTCTTTTTTGTAGTTCAACTATAATAATTTCGTTATGATTAGTATTACTTGAATATCATGGTCATAACAATCTATTGAGATAATGTTTGTTCTTGCAAGAACGAGGATAACGAAATTTTAATCATAATATATAATTGATTATAATATAATCAGTGTTATTGGCCTGTAAAATTCATAGATACAAAACGATAGTTATCTTCATGGCCTGATTCTAAGACTCTCTCTGTCTTTCTTTAAAAATATTTATTTTGTCGCATTTGTATCTATCTAAAAAAAATTCAGAGGAAAAAGCAGGTCTTCACGCTTAAGGCAAATTTAATAATACGATTGTTTAGGTATTTTATAAAAGCGTATAACTGTTAGTAGCTTAATTTGTACTAACTGAATTTGTTTGACGTCTAATGTTAACACTTATTTATATAACGTCTTAACGTTTAATTTATGTACTTGTTCAAAGGCTGCTATCACGATTTGCTTCCTCTTTGTTCTCTCATGGACTCCGTATGGCGTGATGGCAATGATCGGTGCATTCGGTAATAAAGCTTTACTAACACCAGGTGTTACGATGATACCTGCGTGTACATGTAAAGCTGTTGCTTGTTTGGATCCATATGTATATGCAATAAGTCACCCGAAATACAGGTAAATTAATATATACTAAATATAGCATGTAATTATTCTCCAGCATTTTTTATATTACAAAATTTTCATATATTTCTTTCAAAATAAAATTATGCGAATATCGTTTAACGAATTGATCCTGATATATTTTATTATTTAAAATCCTTTTAATATTTTCTCATTTTTCATTGATAAAAATTTTACTTTGACTATAATTATTGTATTACATTACATTATTATATTAACTCATGTATAGAGAACAAATTTAAAAGATTTACTATTAAGATGAACTAAAATGTATTTGTTATTGTCTGAATAGATTGGAACTGCAAAAACGACTACCGTGGTTAGAGTTGCAAGAAAAACCGATATCCGATTCGACAAGCACCACGACTGAAACAGTTAATGCACCACCGGCTGCGAGCTAAACTTTAATTGCAATTGCTGTTTTTCGAAAACGAAAAATAGGAATTTATTTGGCTCTCGTTCGATATTTTGTTTCCACGTCGTTAAAAATACGCGTTCCTTGTATAGCGAAAATAATAAAGCAAATTTCCTGGCATATATATTTCCATAATTTTCCTCAATATAATTTGCATATATGATGTACATACATATTATATATATATATTTTTTTTTTTTCGCAAGAGAAAATAAAAAAAGAGTGTTATAAACTGAAATAGCTTAAATTAATGTACATATATGAGTAGAGGTGTTCTTGTTATGTAGATTTTCACGTTGATAGATAGATGATTAATAAAAAATACTCCTATAAGGAACAAAAGCTGGCAAGTTACAATTTTATTCATTTATTCATTTTGTTACATACTACTCTCCTTATAGCTATAACTCTAGGCCTTAGAGGTTCGAAAATAAAAGGATGTATATGACCCATAGACTAAATCTCATTAACTTACGTCTGTAATAGGTCGATATTATGATAAAGAACTTTTTATATAACTTCACTGCGTAATTGAGAATTGACTGTATGTGCTGTATAATTAGTACTCTTATTTGATCAAATAGATATCTTAATTTGTTGGGTAATAGTTTGAGGCGTAGACGAAAATCGTTATTGATTTAGGAAGATTTACAAATTTTTTGTATTAATCGGATCTTTATAATTTTCTTATTATTCGATAAAAAAGTAGATAAAAAGTTAGTTTGCATTGTTTAGTTTCATATACCTTATATCAATTTTCAAAGCGTTACGCCTCGGTCATCAGACTTATTCCATTAAATTAAGATTAATATGAAATATCGAAAATTTTTGAAACACAAAATCAGGGTGAAGAAAATGTCTTTTTTCGAACTACTCTCGTACTTAAGGTTTACAAACTGCGCAGCCATTCAAGTTTCTTTAACGCTACTTTTATAATCTGGTCAACTCATTTTATGTCACGAGTGTCTATGTGTGGCCGTTTTTGTACTATGTCGATGCTAATTTTTCTAAGATATAATTACAACAGTAAATAATAAATCACGTTCTGTACACCTTCCTAGGAACTTTCTACTTCCAACTATGTTAATTCACAGAAGACATTGATTTACTCAGAAACTCCAAGCGATTGTGAGGTATCGAGATCCAACTTTGAATAACAAATATAAAAAAAGATTGGTAACTTTCACAAAAATGTGAAGTTTCTTAAAAGTCAAATACGATAATTATATGACACATTTACAAATGATAAGTATAATGGGATAACAATATATAACAGTTATTATTCTGTAATAAGAATGATGTGAGAATAATCGCGATAGAAATAGTTAATCTTTTTTAACAAAAACGAAAATGTCATGTTAAGAAAGAGAAACGTTACAGAGATACTTCAATATTTTTAAGTGTTTCAAACGCTTGTGTTGTACATATCGAAAACAATTACAAATTGTATATTAAAAAGTACTTGAGGCGTGAACACCAGACCATCAGCATAACAAAGATCCCCAAATGGACGTATCTATGGAGAATATTAACCATTCTTTTTTGTTAATTTGCAACTGTACAATTATTTGTTTTCCTACATCTACGATAACAATGAATAGAAATGCCATTAGAGATATGTATTTTACTGACGGCTCATCTAAAAATGTAGGAGAGAACGTCTTTGTTCATTTGACCAAATTACAGCAAGATTTAAAAGCAAGATTTGTTACTTGCTAGTTTCTCCCGATTACAATTAAAAAACAAAAAAAAAAAAAAAAAGGAAAAAAATAAACGATTACCGTTGGCGACTGAATTTTTGAGCACTCATTGCAATTATATCCATCGTAAATATACGCATTACAATCTTTCCCTTATGTCGTTTTTCCCTATATCCTTTTCGGCGAAGATAATCGAATCGAATTCTTTTCGTCTTACTTAACACGGCGATGTAAAAGTTTCTTGGAAACCGTGATCGTTACCGCGGCTAGACATCGGTACCTGGATATAACACAGATGATACTTGCGCTTTGGCTATTCTCTACATGAGCATGTTAACACGTTTCATCATTTTGATTTAACATCTATAACATACGCGAAGTACACTTTTTTTTCAACTCTTAAAAACGACCGAACTGAACTCATGGTCGTACATGTAAGCGCTTCTGGTTTCACTGCGATGTTTGCGTTATATAAAGAATAATATATACGTTTTATGTGGAAAAAGGTGGTGAAGTAGATGCAACTCTTTGGAAGTGAAGTTCCGCGTCACCTGAATAAAAATTAATTTACCGCGGGATTTATCCACTAATTTCGTTATATTTTATTTTCTAAGAAACGATGCTATATTCCTTCTAAACGTGTAATTCTTTCTGTTAATTTTATTTGATAAAAACGTCTTGTTATAACAAGAGGTAATTTGTTACAAAAGAAGTAAATAAATGTTTTAATAACAGTATTTTTAACAATATTGCACGCTTGAAAAATCATAAAGAGTGGAATTGCTTTTAGGCAACTGTATACTTCTATAAATTTTTGAGCTATATTCCTTCTATTTTTTGCTACTGTAAATTATGAATTCTATTTTCTACATAACATAAAAGAGAAATTGAATTTAAAACAAGTTTACAAGAATGATTAGAATAATTTTTTAGAAAGTAACATACAACAGAATTAATAGAACACCCCGTACAATTAATTCATATATAAATGTCATGAATTAATCTATTTAAAATACTATCACAGAATACTTGAAATGTGAAAAAACATACTAGTTACAAACTTGTTAAAAAAAATATTACAATGAAATTTGAAAGAACCAATTTGATGGACAAAAATTGAAAAATTCGGAACTTTAAAACGGGCAGTTATCATCGAGTTTTTTGATAATCTACGTTCCCACGCTTTTCCAAGCATACTGTATTTTGATTTCAACGACACATGTATCACTTTGTGTGTTTAATGCCTTCTATTACAACGATATTATTATCTAATTGTACATAAGACACTCAGCAGATGAACGAACACTCGTGTCGTTTCAAACAACACCGAGAGATTTGATGACGTTTATTCAAAAGCAGTTTGTTTTTCAAAAACCAATGAATCTCTCGATTATTATTTGTAGACTGGTTGCGTGTTTTCATTACTATGCCATTTAATGCATAAACTGTTCGCGACACGCAAAGCTGTCCTAATTTAACAAGATTGGGCAAAAGGAGGAAGTAATAGGGTCGTATGACTATTTAGATTACAATATATTTTATGAAATTCTTCTCTTTCAGCGAACAGGGAAAAGCATATTGCCTAAAGATTTGTTATTTGCTATCGTTATTATTAACGTTATTATTACTATTATCATTAGATTTAACATTATTATTTGTATTATTCTTGTATCTCTAGTTTTCATCGTTTTTCTGAACTTTGATTAACGTTCTTTTTTTGTTTTTCTTTTGTTTCCAGTTACTGACGTACTATCCTCTTCAGTAACTTATTTCAGTATTATTTCTTTGAACACTATTTTCAGTGTAATTATAATCCTTCACGCGTATACACGTTTCATATTTTGCTTTTCTTAATTCTTTTTTTCGAAAATATGTATTTATTCATGTTATACATTATTTGAATTAGTCTCTATTTTAATATTATCGAACGTATATCACTCTCTTAAAATTATTACGCGCTTTTCTAGACGTATTTACACTACAGGCCGAGTTAATACATCAATGATATCGCCGCATTTGAAATGCGAGCGTACGGCCCTGCGAACATTATTATAGAAGTTAATAGCGTTTCTAAAGGAGAAACACTGACGCGGTATGATCGCAGAGTGATTCATTTTCGTTTCTATGATACATATGTATACGCGACACAGAAGGAGCATGCTACACAAAGGAGAATTACGCTACGACGAGAAACGATGTTCTTGAGGAAGACAATTCGTATCGGTGCCTTTGCAACTGTGACTGCTCGTCTTGGCTTTTCGCTTTTCCTCGATGCTTAATTTTTTGGCTTTTGGCGCTCGTAGGGAACATATCAACATTGTCTGACTGTCCTTTAGTGGTTCTTCTATCTTCGCTCTTGATTTCTTTCGTTCTTCTTTGTTCTTGTTCTCTGTCATTGCCTCGTCTTGAGCGTGTTTCTCTTCTAAAAATTTATTAAAAGTAATTATTCAAGTCAACAAAAAAGTAAATTATTCAAATCAAGTAATTATTTATAAATTTAAAGATCTTGAAGATGAAGATGAAGATTTTGATGAAATAAAATATGAAATAAATCAAATTTAGATTTCTTTAACATCCAAATTGGCTGATTCTCAATTTGAAAATTGCTTATAATAATTTCTAATTTTTCTTTTTCCTTCCTTTCTTCCTTATTCTTTTCTACACGTTTTGTAGCAATAAAACCATATAAAAATACACAATGATTTCTAAAACAACTTGGTATTTCGTGAAGGAAATTTAGACATATATTGACAATAAAGTCAATTAATAGCCAAGTATGCGTAGGAAGACATGTTGTTTACAGTATCACTTGAGTGAGTCTGGCGATGAAGTATCAGTGAATCTTGATAGTGTAAAGATTTACTTGAATTAGATTCATTTAATGAGAGAATCTAGCTAATAAAAAATTTACAGAAGTTTATAAATATGCGAATTAATTGATACTTCTTGTGTTGATATTATGAGCACTTTTCCAATGTTCTGACTTATTGTTTTGTGTTTTCTCAAATATAATTAAAAGTCTATACAAAAATTAAAATATTACTTTTGATCATAATCAGAGTGCAATTATTCAAACATTTCCAATTATATTAAATAATATAATTATATTATATCGTATTTAAATTAAAGTTTTTATTAGTATAATTATAATATTATATTATATTTAGGTAATTTTTTTTTAACAATTTAACATTTTGAAATGTAATAAACATAATTTAGGTTCTATTTTTGACAGAGTTAAGAATATCATTTGTTAAGGAATTAATGGATTTAAAGATGACGGAAGAATCTTGCAATTTCAATTGTAATAATCACTAACCGATTACAGTTACTATTGATAAAAAAATATTCCAAAGAAATATAACATGTTTAAAATACTTTTTTTACTTCAAGTATAACTATAATTTTTTTTCGTTTTTCACGTCAGAAAATACCATATTCTATTTAAGAATAATGAATCAATTTTAAAATAAAAACAAAACCTACAAAATCCATAAAAATTTCATTTCAATTGTAGTATTCTCCTTCAAATAAAATATACTTCGAGACATTCTGATGCAATTTTAAATTCCAAATCTTCTTTCAAATGCTAAATTACAATGGCTGTTTTCATTAATAGAACGAGTCTCGGCATGTTTTTATATTCAATTTTCAAATAGTAACCGTGGCAGTTGCTCAAAGGAAAAAAAAAGAAGGAAACTGAAAGTGAATATAGAACTTGTAGTACACAATCTCCTTTGTAATTGATCTCTTATTAGCTGTCTAGTGGCTACAAAAGGGCAAACAAGTACCTTCGAGGACCTCGTCGAATATCGATCTGCTCATCTTCGAAACACAGTTCTTTTCTTCGCTTTGATCCACTTCATTCTCCCTCTCGACGTTATTGTTCGTGCGGAAGATAGACTCGAGAACCTGTCTGGAGAGCAATGGGGAAACAGGTTGTTTCCTCCTCGTTCCGTTTACGTTGGTGAACACGTCGCACGTACTCGTATCATTATCGCACATGTTTATGGTCGATGCGTTGTCGGTGATTAATTTTTCCGTATCCGAATCACCGGTGTTGCTATAGTAATTATTGCTGCTCTCAGATTTCTTCAGAATCGACTTGGAGACCCGGTGCCTGTCTATGAAAGGCACGCCCTCGCTGTCTATCGAATCAGCGGACAGGGAAAGCTTGCTCTCGGTGTTCGTTCCTGAAATTTGCCTTCGATGACCTGCATATACAGTGCTTCCAAGTATTGCGCTGACCCAGAATATAAAGGAAATCAATAGAAGGGTGAATCGACAGGTAGACACGACTCGAATAATCTTTAAAGCCACTGGACACGTTACGGGTACAGAATACGTTTCACAAATGTTGGGTGAGATAGAAAAAAGAATTGATAGGATAATATATTAAAATCTTTTAAAAAGAGTAAAGTACAATGTCGTGGATTAAGATTATTGACAAATTATTGAAAAGTTTGAGATCGTCATTGGCATTCATGGTTTTATGAATGAAAATTAAATAAAAAATAATGTATATAGCTCATTATTTCTTGTCTTTGGTGGGTTTATTGGAGAGTTCTTCTATTTTATTGGAATGTGTATCTTTTATTTCAGCAAGCAATATTGTTTTATTACTTCTTTGTTTTATTTGTATACCTTGAGCGATTTCACAAATTTTATTAATAATGGCCATAATGTTTCGTCTCCTTAATAGATAATTAACTTTTCATAGAATTTACCAGGTAAAATGCTTTAGAAATCTGTTTATTGTGATACAAGCAGGGTACAGATTTCTTTGTGTTTGATAAAAATTCTACATTACAAATGTTTTCTTTCAAAATGAGCTTGTGCTATAATTTTATTACTAATATTACTTTATTATTTTATTACTAATTTTATCACTAATATTCATTTAAATAGATTTAATGAGCTGTAATATAAAAGAACCCGGCAATGTTAGTTGTGAAAAAATAAAATGTGTAGTCATTGCAAGAATTATAGACATATACATATGTAAATAACATATACAAACTTGATACTTGTGTAGCTATTGATTTCAACATAAACGCAAATATTAAATTATTTACTCTTACATTAGCGTAAAATACATGAACCACTTTAAAGGTTGTTCTTAATTATTTAAATATAATAACAATTTTTAAATTAACTTTACAATTTTCATTTAAGAAATTTCAAAGAAATGAATTATTAATTCTTTTATGTATATGGTATTATATTTTTAAATATTTGTAAGATATAGAAGCAATAAATTAATTTTATTACTTCACATTTCATTTGATTATACTTGAATTTTTTAATTATTTCAAGTCATTAATCCGTTTTTAATCATAATAGTTACAAAAATGTTTTTTCACAAAAATTATCAGATGTCATTTAATCAAAATATTATAGTAACCATTTTTTAATCAATATAATCATTTTCTTCTTTCCTTTTTAGTTAACTAAATACAAAGATTTAAAAATATGGGAAAACTAAGTTATTTACAAATGCAAATGACAATTTAAAAATTCGTTCCTGAAAATAAAAAAGATTTTAAAAAAGAGTTAAAAAATATTGCAGTTCTTTCAATATTAATACTTCCCAGTAATCTCACCTTTCAATATGTATATTTAGTGTACTCAATAATGTAATAAAAAAGTTACATTAAAATATTCATATCTCTTAAATGATATCACTTATAAAAAGACCTTATCATCACCTGACAATTCTCTATGTATATTACAACTCATATTACAATAATAAATCTCGCTTCTGTCTTTAATGTTTCCTAATAATCAAAATATAATTACAAATTACCCAGTAATTAGAACAAAAGCAAGGAAATATTTCTTTCAAAAGAAACATGATGTTAAATAACACAATTTAACAAAACATCTAAATAAGACAATGATAATGAAGTTTAATGCTTACCTGTGTAATGTCTGGGTCCAATGCCAGAGCCAAACAAATGGTGATTTATAATTCTTGTAGCCGAGGCCAGACTGCTATTGGTCGTCGTAAATGGCTTGCCCCCTCGAAGTCCTCCATAGTAATTATTCTCTGTGATCTCTTCTTTCGTGATACTACGAGCCACAATGCTTTCCTGGTCGCTGATAAATTGTGCGCGAGGTCTTACGCTCTGCAATCAGCCGCGTCGGATAACTAATACGCGACATTATGCTAACTAATTATTCGTTAGTACAAATACATATGTATTATACAAACATCTCCATCTTTCCTTGATAAATATTCGTTGGGGAAAGATTAACGAACGACGAACAGGATTCTGTGGTGATTAAAAAAAATGAGTACCCATAAGAAAAATTATTCTGAGTTTATCTTCGATTTTGCATTAAGAAATCGAAGTAACGAAATCTGGACGGTTGCCAACATGATAGATTTCCATTTTTGTTTGGAAATTTGAATGAATTAGGTGTATAGAAAACGTCACACGATTAAATAAAACTTCGATGTTATATATATCATAGTTTAACATTATCAGTCCATTGTAATTATTATCATATATTGCTACTTTATCACAAAAAATTCTTTTCCTTTTAATATATATACATATGTACAATATATATGTCGTCTCTTTTCTACTTTTCATTACCTCTTTGTCTCTTTAAATGACTCATCTGAACTTTCAGTGAAAAGATCGATATACGCGCACGCGATATGTAAGGTTATATAACCATAATTACCAAAAATCAACAACACTGCTGAACATCAGTTTGCTTCAACTTCAATGTACTGAAAACTGTACAAAAACACGAGCAGCTGTTTTTCCTATTTTTAATGTACATTTGTGAACTAATTTCACTGGGTGATTAGTTTGAGATTCCAAAGAAATATTTATACAATTGTTAAATATGTGTGGTATACAGTGAAAAAAAGCCACGTACAATCTATCATATATCTGGATTCAAATGCAAAAGGTGCATTAGTGGATGCACAAGATAAGGTGCGAACACAAGCAGTTAATTATTAACAAATAGAGGAGCGTGATGGAAGCGTTTTAGTGATTCGTGTGGCAAAATCAACAGTACCGGTATCATTCTTCGACTGAAAGAGTACGGCAAGTCGGTTACGCTGCAACTGTGGCCTGTTTAATCAAGATAAACGATGTCTCTGGTTAATCTGGTAGGCCAAACAAGAACCTCTCTCTGTATTGTCTGACTTTTCTTTGGGCACGGCTACTACGTGCAATATCGTGTGAATTTGTGCAGACCCTTCTGACAAGCACTAGGGCATTCGGTAACGTACGATCGCCTTCGGCAATCCGTTCAACTGTGCTCCGTTTGCGATCTTGATGGTTCGTGAAACTGAAAAAAGCAGTGATGATACGCTGTCAGAGCTCGTGCAATAAACATCGCCTTCTTATTATCGCAGGCATTGCGCTAAGTGCAAGGGCAAGAATTGTTTCAAACGCAGCAGTACAGGTTATATTGAAAGAGTTGGGGCGGGGGAACAGTGGCGCCTAATAATATGAAATCACGTGCGTTTTATTATCTCCTTTGAGTGAATTTTTCATGTAAACTAGTACTTTGACTTTGTTTTAATTTTATCACAAATAACAATTCATATAAATTTTGTGCATTTGACACGATTATGTTTATTATTAATGAAATTTCGTTTGTTAAAAATTTAAATTAGATTTTCATAAAACAATTTTGAAAATAAATTTTAATTAAGTATTATGTACAATCATGATCCTTGAAGAAAATTATTAGTAATGATTAATAAAGATAATAAAGTTTTATTTATAATGAAAATAAAGTTTTAGTATGAAGTTAGAAGAAGAAGAAATAATTAAACGCGTCGGTTATGCTGGAGCAACTAAAAGCATAGTCAAGCAGGAAAATGAGGAAAAAGTTTCGAAACAATCCGAATAAAAAGAAACAATTTAAACTCTAGCTAGTGGATGAAATTAGATACTATTGCATGTAGAAGTGTAATCTATGCTTTGTGTGAAATAAAATACATTTTGAGTCAATTTAATTTCTAATTTTAATTTGTACGAATTCTTTTTTATCAAAGAAATAAATTATGTAATAACCTATTTTATTTACTATAATAAGGTATATTAAATTAACGCAGTCGATTAAAATATATACAGTAGTCAAAAATATATCCCTTTGAAATACGTCTAGTATTTAAATTGCTTTAACTGTTATTTTTATTATAGCATTAATATTAATTGTTTTTGGAGCTATAAACTTGTTTATTTTTAGTAAATGTTTTCTCAAATTTTGCGAGAAAATAGAATTTCAATATATTAACGTATTTACTTTCTTAGTTAAGAAATTTAGTTTTTAATTTTTAGTTTTAGTTTAGTTTTTAGTTAAGAAGTTTAGTTAAGAAATTTGAATCAGTACAACAAAGTTAGCAATAAAATAATATAATCAAGGAACATATTGTTAGTTACGTTAATAAATGTTGCATGATGATAGTAATTCAGAATAGAGTAATTATGCGTTGTCTGTACAAAATCTAACCTCAGATGGAAAGTTTAATGTTTCTAATGTATATATGATATAAGCTAATATAAATAAATACATTTAGTATACGAGTATTAGACATAGCTATATTAAATATATTATTTCACAGAACTATTTAGTTCATATAAAATTTATTTCACACAAAGTGATTAGACTTCCTGTTTCATTTAATTTAAAACAAATTGTTATTGATATCTGCGAAGATTTCAAAGAAAACAATTTGTAATACTTAACTTAACCCACATACTATAAAGAATACATGCTATATTTTAAAGTGACGTACTTTAAAAAAACTATAAAGAAACAAAATTCAAATATTCTATGTCAACTGTCACGTGATTCAAAGTAAAAAAAATAACAAAAGCGATATATTAACGGAGTTTATAAGTAAAACTATAATAACAGAAATCATGCGATCACTATTTCAAAATCGATGACTTGTAAGTGTTTGTATCAAAAATCATTTAATTATTACCGTATTGAAAATCATACACCACCTTATTGGCCAAACTTAGAATTCGATGGCGTACACAGCGACAGAGAAAGTGAACATTAAATGTAATATTCATCATGCATACTTAGTCGAGGGTAATTTTTAAACATATAATTTAGATTCAAAGACACATAATCCTTCTGCCTTAAAAATTCTGAAGATTAATCTCAAGAATAATTCAGAATGGAATTCTAACCTTAAATTGTTAGTTAGCAATATAGCACTACTTCTGCAAGATATAATATTTCTTCTTTTGCAGTAATATCAATATTTATTCTTCGAATATCGTTTTAAGAATTCGTAAGAATAATCTTAAGAGTAGTTCAGATCAGAATACTAACCTAAAATTGTTCGCCAGTAACATAGCGCTATTTTTGCAGTATATAATACTTTTTCTTTTGCAGTATTCTTAAAATTCATTTTTTAAATATTCTTCTCAATTTCGATAAATGGGAGAAGAAAGTATAAGATGATGTGGACAACAAAGTTTAATGTTCATAAAGGCATTGATGCTCATAAAGGAACAACGTTGAATACATGCGGTATTATAACAGGATATAGCTCGGACGTGAAAGTATTAAGAATTTCTTTTAAAATTCCCCACAATTAAAGCGGTACCACATTTTTCACTGGATAAACAGCGTTTAATATATTTTCCATAGACACGCGTGCAAAGGTGGACAATTGAGAAGAGATTGAAGAAGAAAACGAAGAGCATACCTGCTGAATGCGAATTTTTCTATGCTTGGGCACTGTGTCGTTTAGGATAACCTTGCTACCCTCGGTAAAGGGACGAGCGTCTTTTAATGATTCGACACTCGGTGAGACATCAGAGACGTTATGTCCAACTTCACCGGAAGCAGACTTCTTTACTCTATTTCCACATTTCTCCGCGGCTTCCAGAGGGTTCACATAAAGGTTACTGTCAGCCTCTTCGGTCAGATCACCCTGTGAAATAGTGCATACATTTTAAATGTTTGTAACTTTGTATGTACTACATGTAAGCTGAGACATTTGAAATTGGTATTTCGATGTTTGTGTTATATTTGTATTATTATAATTGATTCTTTTAGGTGTATTATCTAAATAAGATATTATAATCAGTATTTGTTTTTAACAGAACATTCTATACTTTTTATAAAAGTTGAATGACAAGTGAATGCTAGATAGTTTATTGTAAATTGAGAAATAATAATTATGAAATTATTTATAGTAGGAATTGTCTGTAATTTGAATCAAAAACTATATAGGGTGTTCTAAAAAAGAAAAAGAAAGAAGTAAAATTAATCTTCATAGTTCAATGTAAAAAATTAATGAGAGAAAAATAATTATTGCACTGCATATCTTCCTTGAAGAAATAGAATGTTTTTTAAAGTATTTCTTCATATAGTAAACTATGTAGAATTCAAGACATTAATTTCAAGTGTCTTCTTGTATATGTTATCTTTTTTATATTTTAATTATTTAAACTATTCTGTATAAAAGAGTTAGATTGCATTAAGTCACTATCTTTCTTTTAAATCCAGGAATTTATATACAAGGTTTATGAAATATTTCTATATAAATGAATGCAATTCATTTATAAATATTATAAATTTAGATTGTTTTAGATATTAAATTTTTAGATTATTATAAACATAAATCATTCTTGTATAAAATACAAAAAGTGCAATAAAATACTAGCAGATATTTAAACATGCTAATAAATATATATTTATCAAATAAATTAGAAGTAAAAGTAACGAAACAAGTGTAATTCGAAGTTATGCTTTATCTTTTCTTCTTTTAAATACCCAACTGCATTCACAGGCCAATTGCTTTTTTTAACTGAATTTTTCGCAGATTTATATTGCCATTCCGCTTTCAAAAGCTCGATTACAAGTTTCTACAAAACTAGTTAAGTTTTTTTCTACATTGTGAGCATTTTAGGAAAATTCTTAAGCTACATCTTTTTTCCATTCGAAGTAAATTCTATTTTTCAAGCTTGACCTATGTTATTTACAAGTATATTTGAAAATTCTAATATCTATTCTTACACGGAAAAGATATTCTACGTCAAATTTCAGCATTTAACTGCACTACAATAAAATCTCTAACTCGTTCGGAGATTCTTTGAATTAAATGATAGCGTTATACCTTATTGTTATCCGCCGATTGACCAGCAGAAGAAACCTATGGTAATTAGTATTCGTTCTCGCCGTTGAAAAAGACAGTACGCAAGAATATGAATATAAGAATATACGCTATGCATTAAATTTGCGCAAACATTTAAGCAAAACCAAGTGATACTTAGAATATAGAGGAAAAGAAGAAAAATACAGGAAGAAAAGAAGTATTAATCAATATGATGTTACGGAGAAACAAATAAGAGAAAGAACAAGTGAAAAGGGAAATAACGTGACACATCACGGATATTTCAAGGGATTGAATTCACGGATTCAATTTGCCAGATTCTCGCGGTCTATCGATTCCATGCTATACCTGCGAATGAGACGGATGCGTTTGACAGCTGGCATACGTATCGGAGCTGTCTACGCTTCCTTGCTCGTTGTACGTTTTCCCATAGCTCGAGGCATCCACCGGTTGTGCCGGTAGCGCCTTCGTCTCCGCAGCGAAGATCTGCTGGTGCGCGGCTGGTTCCATCGACATGCCGGGTCGCATCGACTTCATCTCTTGGCAGATGGGGTTACGAAAGTCGCTGGTCGCCAGTGGCATTATATTTTCCGCGTCTCTGAACTCTTTGTATTCCTAGAAACACGACCAAGGTGAAAAGTCTCGGTTTGTCGAAGACGAACCGCTGCAACCAAGCGTCGCCTTCAACATCAGTGTGATCCTAAAAATTTACAGAAAACGGCGCACCTTTCGTCAATATATGAATACACAGATGGAGAAATGCTTCTGGCCTGTAGTCGTTGGATACATCAATTTTAATTTATTTAAATTAATAATGAAACGATGCCATGATATTTCTTCCGTTGTCTATTTATGTGTCCCTTTTATCTTTTTTAATAATGTTTCCCAATATTTATATTTCAAAATTACCTCGATAGCCCTTCGCACGGTTTCTCTTTGCTTCTACCAGTCCATGTTCTATCTTGTAAAAAACTAATTTAAGTTCGTCAGAGTCCAATAAGAGAAGAACAAGTTGCTCCGGGCTCCGGGGCGAACGACGAAAGTTGCGCCTGTTTAATTGAAAAAGTAGTTTCTTCGTGTGCTATATGTATTTTCTAAGAGTAATGAAAAAGGAGAAACTTATTTGTGTGCTCTCTAAATAATCGAAATCTATTTAACGTGACCTTTCTACTTTTCGTATTATACTCGCCTGATGCGATCCAGTATATATATATACATGTATATATACATGTGAGCCTGTAATAAGGTGCGTAACTTAAGGAAAATAACAGTTGCTGTTTGTTAGTTGTATTCCCAAGCTTGCCAGAACTGACCTACCGGATGCAACAAATTGCAATATGTACATTCAGAATCATTGCAAAATCTGTATATGCTGTTATCGTGCTTGTTATTTTGAGTATTTCTGTTTCTAAAGACGGCATGCTGAAAAGATGAAAAGTGAAACAAGCATGTATTGTTGAACCCATTACACGTTATAGAACCAATTATAGATTTTCGTCTTACTTAACAGATATAAAAGAAATAAGGGAATGTACTTCTTTGATACCTTTCCCCTTCCTTTTATTTAGCGTTTTCCATTCTTCAACTATTTCGTCTGAAATCGTGTAATAGGTCCAAACGATCCAAGATACGGATCATTGTTTGTAGAAAGCGTACATTCCGTGTTTCAAATTTTTTGTCCTGAAATGAGAAGGCGTTCCCCTTGAATCTGGTAAAAGAGATTGAATATTGAATGTGATTAAAGAGAATGGAAAGACGTGGTTAATTTGAAGTGGAAACTGTACGCTATGGAAATTGGAAAGTGACGATTGTATATGTGTAACAGTATCATTTATCGACGAAATTCGAGCATTGCCTTTTATTTGGCCACCAGCTCGCGCAACAATAATCGAATAATAATCGAAAATTAAATCGAAGATATTGCGAAACTCCGAACATGATTTTGTGTCGCGCAAACTTCGGTTGTTCAAATAAAACATGGTCGTCGAGATTTCATAGTGCTACGTGAGCAAGTATCGCAGCTGCAGAATCGCATTCGTCGTTGTCGCAGCTGTCGCATTTGTTTCGCCTGAAATTACTTTCTTTTGTCCGTGTATCTCGAGCCTCATTTTTCGTTAAAAAATGGAAAAAAGAGAAACTATAGAGAAAGAGAAAGAAGGAAACGAACTGTCAGTAACATCGTGCAACAATTGCAAGATATCGTGATTGATAATTTGTTAACTAAAAGCGCACCTCGTCGACAAACACGATCCTACGTGGCGTTCACTAATCAATCAGATCGTATGTACCATTTTATTCGATCATGCCACGATACGATGATGAGGTGAATGAAAGTCTATTGTGTGCGTGTCTCTTGCTATGCAGCCAATGAGCTAATGAAAAGGATTAGTAAGTCAATCAACGTCGTTCGCTTAAGACACTCAGTCGTCGTATAAGATAAACGTCACCAAGAAATAATGTCCTGCTTTCAGGAGAAGAGAATTTTAAAAGAACTTGGAATAAAATAAAGAAACGAAATAGAAAATTCGTTTACCATGACGATATACACCATTGTTCATAAGTATTAAGATACTTATAGAAAATCTAGGTATACCTGAAAAATGAATAGCATATTATTTAAAACTCTGAGAATTATTATTTATTTAAAACTTTTTACAAGGAAGAACGTATGTGTTTAATATAACAAAATAAAAGAAAAAATCTTACCAATTATGGATAATAAAAATAAATGTTTTCCTTATTTGTATGAAAATGAGTCTCTTGATAGCTCCTTGATAAATTTAAATTTTCTATTCGTGTTAGTAAATTTTGTTTATTTGATTCCTTACACACTGTAAATTATTTTCTAAATTAAATTTAGATTTAACACAAAATTTTCGAAATTTCTTATTTAATGCATCTTAAATTTTAAATTTTTTCTGTAAAATATATGTAGATTAAAAAATTTTAGGGGCATCACATAATTGTTAATTCATCAATTTACTCTAGCTTTTAAAAATACTTTTTAGAAATTAATTAGTTTAATACTTATGAACGGGTGTGTGATTAATTTGATGTAGTACATATACAAGAAATATTTGCACATAGTGAAAGCTAACTTTACTTTATGTTAAAATCAAATAAATAATTTTTAAGTAATTTTTTTAATTATTCAAATATTTATAAAAATACTTTAAGTACTATATTTTGTATATATTTCAATCATAAATAATAAAAATTAATTATATAACTTTATATGTAATTATTATAGATAATACCTGTATCTTACTATACTACATAGAGTAATTACATACAATAATTGATATATATTTATTCGACTAAAATACGTAAAAAGTAAAAAATTATTTCATTTTATAATAAAATAATGAAATAATTTAGGGGAAATCAGATTTTTGGTTAAATAATCGAATGTATGATTACTTTAAAATAACATTCAGTTAAATAAGATAATGTATTATTTAAATAATCATTTTTTAAATATTTCATTCAAACAATAATTTCCAATACTGTTTTTGTATGGTATAAAATTTAATATACATATTTCAATTCAGACAACATATATAATCTTTTATAAGAATGTAAATGTAAAGCTCAATTAAGCAGTGTGGAAATACCTTTTGTATATGTCGTATATCATGTCGTTAACTCCTTTATAAAATTACCGTTGAAACGTGAAGAATACATAATAACGAATAAAGTTCGGCTATTGTAGCGAATATTCGTTACGGAAGCACTTGAAGTGAAATGTGTTCCAGTTGGAACAGTGTTTCATGTCAAGACATTTGTCCGAATCGTTAACAGCTTGCAAGCAAATTGCTTGAACACGAGTAAATTCTCTTTCGTTCTAGTCTACTCGAACGATTGCCAGCGTGATTCATGCACGAATCTAGCGAGCGAACTTGACGTCCGTTTCAGACTTGAAAGCAGGAAATTATCCATCAGAGAGAAAGAGAGAGAAAGTATATCGGTTTAAGTAAATACATGTAGTAGGCATGTGCGAATAATTCAAAGGCGATTTCGTCAAATTATAACAAGAACGTTTTCATACAATATGTTATAAAATAGGGAATTAATCACTTGCAATGATAATTGGATAGAACATATTATTAAAAAAAAATTATGTTACAACAGTAAATAAAAATTTAAGTATTGATAATTTTAGTAAAATATATTAGAAATTAGTTCATATATTTAGTGCAAAAATCACATAGGAAGCTTGTTGGTAAGTATCGCAAAAACAATTACCAAACAGTTAAACCGTTTCAAAAAAATACTTCAACATTTTTGTAACATTTCCATTTTAAATTCACTTTTTTATAATGGTTGCTGATTGGAGAAAGAATGTAAAGAAATATTAAGTATTTAATAAATAGGAAGAAAGAAGCTTTAATTCGCAGATACCTAGTATTTATGACATGCCCAACGATTGGTGTATCCAGTATCACAGATAGGAAGGTAACGAACTTCTAAATGATAAGAGAAATTTCGATGCAAAGTATTCATAAAAAAAGAAATCATTAAATCAAAGACCAATTTTAAATATTAATTATTTCATAAAATAAACTCTAGCAGTTATATAAATTAAAATATTGAAAAATAATAACGATAGGGGTCATTTTTTGTTTGATTAACATTAAAAATCAACAAAGTTTTAAAATGTAATTTTTACTCTAGCTGATTTTAGAAATCTTAATTTTTTGTCGAATATCCATTTTAATTTTTTAGTATAGATACATATATTTTTAAATTAAACGAAATTAAAACAGATATCAAAGCAAGTATTACAAAAGAAAATAAATATCACTACAATAGACAAATTACCATTTGATATTATTTAAAACTGTTTCTAAAAGCGTTTTTAACATTTTTGAATCAAGAGTATGTATTGTTTTGATATATATCATTTTGAACATCATATGTATATTGATTTAAATAAAATTTATATTTGAAGTCTCTTGAGAGACATGTATGTAACGTATTAATTGAAATATGAATAAGATAAAACAATGAGAAATAGTATGGTAAATTAAGATATTCTATCATACTTTATACCTCATATTCGAGTCAATCTCGATTCATGTTAAAAAGTTTCTGTTTTCAATTTAATTGTGACAAGGAAAATCCAAGAGCTCCTTAACTTGAAATGATTATTACCCTTATAAAGTTGCTATGAACTGGATAAACTTTCTCGTAGGGTAAACTATAATATTCTATTTAGGATTAGGTGAAAGGGGTGGTTGTGCGGCCAGAGCCGAAGGCATCGTGTTTCGTTTAATGGCGTGATCTCGCCCTGATGTGAACTACGACGACGATGCCCGTGCCTTGACCTACAAAATTGCGAGTTTACACGCAAGTCAAATTAGTGGACGAACTACAGTTGCGTCTAAAGCTTTGAATGAACTGGTATCGTGTCAATGGAAAAGTTGTGCTCTGTTGAAGGTGAAAGGGGAGGCAGTGCATACACCCAGTGGACTATACATATGGACAAACCGTGCATCGGCTATAGTAGAACGGAAGTAGTAGCGTACAGATAATAGAAGCCAGGGGACAAACGAATACACCATTTCGCGCGATAGTATGTGTTCTCTATTGATTAGACATCACTGGCGAAGGCAAAGCAACAAGAAGAGATCGTAACATAACAGAGATTCAAAGAGAGAGAAAAAAAAGAAAAAAAAGGAGTGAAAGACAGAAAGTTAGTCCCCTTGGTCCCAATTCTCTCGACAGCCCATTGGTGTATGTAGTGCCGCCTAAGGAAGAACGTTAGTGATCGTAAATACCTTCGTAGTACAAAAGCAACACTCGAATTCGCTAGGTATTTCATCATTTTTCTCGAATTTTCTGCTGTCTTTTTTCTCTTCATCCTACAATGTCACACACACAATTTCCTATTTTACTTTCCGTAACACACAGCTCGCTTCGCTCGGATGCGATCAAATTATTTCGTTTTTTGTTATCTTACCACCGTGCATGTACAGAAAAATTCCATTCACTGTCATTGCTCAAATGTTCATCATAGACATTATTAAGTTCAATTATCTCGATATTCTTTTTCTAAAAACATATGATTTTTAATAATATGAAATATATTTCATAACCATTAATAATATATTCTTTGTTAATTAAATTTGTTTACCTTAATAAATATTTTCTTTCATAAAGAACGTTTTCATACGGAATAATTCAAACGCTTCACGAACGAGCGAACAATTAATCCTTTGAAGCACGCATTCAAGAAAGAAAACTTCTGTGTGATATTAGTTACCTTGTTTCTAAACGAACAACTGTATCTCGAATAAAAGTTTTCGCAACGAGAGTCGATCATTGGATACAGTAATTGCGCGAGTAATCCTCGTGTCTCATTATACATGTGATAAGCGAGATCTTCAATTTCTGTAACTAAATAGAGCACCTTTCGATAACAGTGCTTCAAAGGCTTGAACGAAAACACGAAACGAGGCAACGTATGATCACGTGGAGCCAGAGAGAGAAATTTCTCGTATCCAAAGGTGAAAAGGTGAATGTGTCAATTCGTTAAAGAAAGGATGTTCGTGATGCGTAAATTATTTCGTAAATTGTGGTATACAAGTAACAGATACTAGAAACAGACAAATTTTCCTCTTTAAATGTTTTCTACGTTTAAGAAGTAACACTTTCTTGAACAATAAATTTTTCTAACCTTTAATTAAGATACGTACCCATAAATTCAATGCGTTTGCTTATTTGCAAATTACTGCTTTATAATATTAATACTGTGCGTGTAGACTAATATGATAGATATTCAAGTTTCTAAAAAGTATTATGTCACATACGAATGATTGAAATCTTGAATCAATCACATGCTCGAAATTCGACTTGGAATCGTGCCTGAAGTTGATTATATCGCTAATAATGCATACTTCGATGCATATCGAGTAGTTGAGCTTCGGAACAAATCGGAAGATGTCGGAAGCGTTCGGTTCCCGAGAACCCGAAAATATTGTCACGTGATGTTTAACATCCTAAGTATCGAAATATTCTAAACGTTTAACATTCTCGTCGAAATTATGGTTGAAATAAATCGTATCACACTCGTAATATACACGACTCTGTAAGTAATTAACTATTCAACAAATATAAACGATAAAATATAGCCGTATAAAATATATTTATGTAAGTACTTAAAATGATAAAAATAATATATGTATATAGGTTCAATAGAGAGATGTATTTTCGGCAGCAATGAAAATATACGAAGAAAATAATCAAAACAGTAGATCTAATAAACTAGTTTTGTTTATTATCATAGTGTATCCAACATGACTCGAGATAAGTATATACACATTTAGAATGTCTACTCATTAGCTCTGTGAGACTGTACTAGAAAATAGAAGTCTTAAACGCTTTTCGGTATCAATAATATTCATTCTTTCGATCATAGAATTATATATTCATCTACCGGGCATATTGCGCATTGTCCGACCTCTTCCGAATATCCCCGACTGAACTCGAACCGAATCTCGGGTGCCAAACGTACCCATACCCATATATACATTATATATATATATATAGGTAGATAGATATAGATAATTGATCTCTCTAGAAATCAATTGTAATTATGCAATTCGTTGCTCGTGCACGTTTCTATAATCGTTGGGGAAACTTTTAAGCGCGTTCCGGGCAAGAATTTTTATCACGAATGTAAACGGGGGTATTTTAATCGCATACATGTTACGTATCATTGTACTATAATTTCACTGAAATCCGAGAGGCAAATTGATAATATATATATATAATAAACTCTTTACTATTATATGTTATTTTATTACAATTATTAATTGCTAATCTCTTATTTTAGAAGAAGCTATTACAGTCAACGATAATTCCTTTTTTCATAAAGAAGTAGAAGTGTGGTTATGAAGAATTGAAGCAAAACAAAACAAGTAATTGGTTACCCCTATTATTTACGATTGTTTATAATGTTGTTTTTTGAATAATTTTTAATACCACTATTTACGAATTTGTCAGCATATGTTTGATGGTACACAAGGTGTAATGAAGTGTTCATTGAGGTAAGTACGTATATCGAGTGACAGTGAAACGCATCGTAGTGAAAAGAAATTAACATCGTGTGTGGACGGACGTCACAATTGCTTTTCGTTACTTACACGAGATCAACTGATCGTAACTACACTTTTGAAACGAATCATTTCTCGAACCTGCTGTCCTGTATATGTCTTTGCGAAAAGAAGAACAACCTCGAACACTTTCAGACTCACTGTATTTGACCGTGTGCCTTGTTAACTATTAATACATTATTTAAAGCTGAAAGGGCTGACATGAAATCAATAAACTTCATTCATAATCTAAAATAACATAGAAATTAAACAATATCTCAGATTAAAGTATAAAACCAAAAAAAAAGAAAAACATTTAAGGAAACCTCGAAGTCGATATAGTTACTTTTTCGAACAGCAATATAAGACGTCCCCCACTTTTATTTTATATTCCTTTGATTTATTTTAATATTACAAAAGTTTTGCTTTTTATTGCAGCTTCCTCGAAGTCAGTCCAAAATTAACTGTATTAGTCAGCCCTAATCAATGAACTATACACGGACCAACTTCGAGGTTTCGTTCAGTAAAGAAATAATCAATCGAATTATAAACCCTTTGAAATTAGATTTAAAATTAATTTTATTCGGTTACAAGAAAATTTTTATTGGATATAAGAATGGACGTCGAATTGTGTCGTATTACAATAAAATACGAGCTGAAAGGTCATGCCAAATATGACAATAAAAATTACAACTGCCCGATAGTTCAATGATTCTCTACATTCGATTATTTAATTCTTATTATTAATGTATATGTTACGATAATTATATATACAGGCAGTGTTTTGAAGAACCGATTTTCATTAACATCGAATCGCAATGGTATACCTACCAAATTTTTAATACCCCTTATTACACGAGGATTGCTATTATTCACCTATTTTTCGAGAGTTATAAATATCAATTTTTTACTTCCTAGATCACCTGTTAAGTGTTAAATTGAGCGTCAATACAATTTTTCCTGCATACTGTTTATCAGTACATACTAATTAGTCTATGAAGAATATCGCGGAGAAATTTGATGTTGTCTCTGTAAAGTAGTATTTAATGACTTTCGAGAATTAATAAATACTCGCATATTTCTGTTGAGATATTTAGGACCTCGAAAACGACGTTCAACGATCAGGATATAATATTATCGATCAACGTACACAATTTTCAACAAGAAAATTATTAATTCCACTTGGACAATTGGGACTAAACAAGAACAGGGGTGTTAAACTAATCGATGCTAAAAGGTGTGATGCAACATCAGTGCAATTTAAAAAATGCTAGAGAACGTTTATCATCGACATGTCTCTATATATGCACTACAAATTCAATTAGTTTCGCTCAATAGATGGTAATAATAGAGCTCAGCAAATATGATCGCATATGGAAATGTATGCATAACGTGCACGAAACTAAACTTTCAGGTGTGTCACGTTTCTAATGGAATAAAATATACGTCAATAATCATACAGTGTAATGGTACGTGGGTAACAAGCGACCGAACAACGAAGCAGTCTAGTTAGGGGTATACTCTAGCTACAGCTCTCACTTTGAATGCACCATTGATTTGTAGCATTATTATAGTACTACTGCCAAAAAATCAATAAACTTTCCGGCCAACTGAAATGAAAAGGTAAGAATTTAAAAAAAAAGAAAAAAATTAAAGTCAATAAGTTCGATAACGCTGCGGTTTCAGGAACGGCCAAAGTCTTAGCGCATCGCAAAATCTCGTCTAAAGCGGAAAGAAAGGAGGGACGCGTCTCGAAGTGAAAGGCACAGACGAGGGAGAAAAAAGACATCAAGCGGCATGACACGATGAATAATAGAAGAAACAAACGGAAAGACGATCGACGTGAGAAAAGATATTAAAACGTATCTCTGAAAAGTGCGATCAAAAAGCGTTCCGCGCTTTTCTCGGATCGAGCACGGCAAGGTCCGACGTCCAAGTACCGCGGTCTCACATCCCGGATTATCGTCCATCGTCACGCATTTTCTTTCTCATCTCTCGCACTTCAACGTTTTCATTCTGTCGTTGCCTTTCTCGTGGCTGTTCGTTGCTACGAAAACTTGCAGAGTTTCTATGTTGTCGGACGTTGCCAGGAAAGACTGGTAAATCTTTCATGGACCCAATTCGTCGGGTGTCAATTTTGAAGAATTTTATTAAACCTCTCGTTTTTTTTTTTTTTTTCTTTTTTTTAGTCTTTGTCTTTAATTTTTTGTTTTTGTTCTTTCAGGAGGATCGAACCGATCAAGGATAGTTTCGTGGATTTTGCTCGATTCTTTTCGACTGAACGACCGAAACACATGCAGCAAAAGAGAACAAGATTCAGCAAAGTCCGACAATAGCAGGTAATTCGTGTGTGTGACGAAAGTTTCGGCGGCTTTGTTCAACGATGGTGGTTCAATGCGCGCTGTCGGACATTGCCTGTAACATATCGACACGAAATCTGTCAGAAAGTTACCGCCAATGATGAAAGAATGAATCTGAACTCATTATTGGATCACGAGTTGCGGCACGCTGCTGCCTGCAATAATCTCTTCGACTGCACACGATATTTTTCTTTTTTTATTTTATTGATGGTTCACTGCAAGCTTTTAAGTGAAGCTGACATTTATTGCGTAATCAACGTTTGATTCTCGCTGTATAAGATGTAAGTATAGGAAATACCTGCAAATAATTGGTTCGAAAAGAGAGAATAGATCGTACTATTGCAGCCAACTGCGTAAAACATAATAGGATTGCGAAATCCAGTGTAACAAATTAATACTGAGTGTTTAATGAATATAACAGTTTTAAGTAGCATTGTCAGGTAACAAATTTTCTGTTAATAATGAATAACAATAATTGTTCAGGCGCGATCCATCTTTTGATTGCTTAATATGCAAAAATGTAGTACCTATCATTTTATATCGTTCAGTAGTGTAACTTTATGTCATTTAAATATTTGTACTTGTATTAATTACACTAGTTTGTAGTTCCACTGCTGAACAAATTCGTGCCGATTATGTACAACGTGAAAAAAGGTTATCTGACTGTGAGACGTTAATATCTCAAAAACAACTTGTAAAAATCACAGAACACCGAGTGCGCAAGATTGTATGAGTAAAAACTGGTCGTGCGAACGAGGAACCTAGAAGAAACGTTAATATTTTCACGTCACGAATACGATGACATTATTCGATTACGAGGTACCGTTTTTACGTTTCGTAAAGTTAGTTATCGATAGCTAAAGACGATGATAGTAATCGAGAAAATAATTTTCAGCACAAGGACAAAAAATCAACGAACACGGAAAAGTCTATGATATTGAGTCTACATGAAAAGAATAAAAAACAGGTTAGTGTTTAATCGAAAGAAATACATCGAGGACAACATTTCCGTCCGTTTATCCTGTATCAAAATGTGTTATCAAAGTGACATTAAGAATCTCAGTGCACTATGTACACGTGATGCACACACGAAAGTGATCAATACCTGCATTTACAGAAATTCATATCTCTGCCTAAATTTCTGTGCCCTGTGTGTTCTCTATGGTAAAGGAAAAGCACATTCAATCATTGTTCATAAGCGAGCATTCCAGGACCGCAGAGATGTGCGAAAAGAACACTGTCAGTCAAAGATAAGATTTGATACAACGATGGAATAGACCGACGCGTTTCCCGACGAAAATGCACTTGGACGACACGTTGTTACTTTCGAAGGAGCCAATTTGCATTTTACACAAAGAATTTCGTTTTCTTTTATTCAGTCTATTTTTATATACATATTCGATGTCTTCACTGTCCTTTAATTTTTTCGATATTCTCAATCCTCTCATTTATGAACACTTGTCTCTTCTTGATTGTCTTCACAATCCCTATCGATAATTTTTAAATCATAGCAAGATCATTTGGCTATTGAATAACATTCATAAAAGGAATTAATTCACAAAGCTAATATCAATATCTTTTGTTAACATCGAGAGAAGGAATATAAGCCAATAACATGTAAATAACCGTGTTATGATGAGAGGATTAGTGTTCCCAATGACTCTATTATCTTCGATTCATTGAATCTCAGATATTTGTACACTGCTATTTACAAGTCATCGCACTATTTACAAAAGTATGATACAGATCAGGAATTAGTAACGGCTTTAAAATGTACTTTAAAACCGTAAAAATATAGAAGCTTGGAGAAAGCTCGATGAATCGAAGATATGCAATTGTTAAAGGGGTATTGAATTCGAATAGCATGGACGAGTAAAGGGGAAAGCGAACATTAAGGAAAGTTAATGTCGTTCTTTCGGGCTCCGCAGATCGTTCATTCGCGAGCTAATAAAACAATCAATTGCGTAGACGTGATTTATCGAGACACGTTAAAAATCTCATTATCGGAAAGAATTTGTCGGGAAAACACGCGACCAAGTAGACTTAATAATCGAAAATTGCGCAAACCTTTATTCGGAACCTCTATACCTCGCAGTACGAAATTGTTCTTTGATATAGCTCTTAGAATCATAATTAAAAAAAAAAAAAAGAAGAAAAGTACAGTATTTAATCACAATACTTTATACAAGTGAAACATGTATAGATGTAAGTAGTTTTGCAGTAAATGGCAAAATTATCCGGTTTTACGTTCAAATATTTACATTATTAATTCAATGTAATAATGACATAATATTTACAGTAATTCTGTCGGCACTGATAGGTATAGATGTGTCTGTATTAAAAAGAATTTTGTGTTGTATTGAAAAAGTACCATTTTTGTTATACCGTATGTATTATACAAAATTGGGTTGACCATTCTTCATATAAATCTCTATTCTTTTATAATTTCGGCGTCGAAAATCGTTAAAAAATGTTTCCATTATAAAGTAAAGTATAATTATTCGAAATATTAAGAGAATGGTTGCCCAGCTCTATATATCTTCACGTAAATATTGTTTCAATGTGTTATCATCGAGTAAATATATTCACAAACAAAATTACTTGAAATTATTAGAAAATATTTATTGAAAAGAAAGAGATTTTTTTATCGAAATTTCCCATGTATGAACTAGTTCTGAGAAATATTTACTCGTTTTGTGTTTGTGCCAGACCTAATTTCGACATTCTGGCAGCGGTTCTGCTGATACGGTAAAGAAGTACACAACTCTACGGGATACCAATCAATTTGTCACTGGTATCCCGCGAAAACAAGCAGACACACATAGATAAGAAGCTGCACATCGAGCAAATCTTTTTTTTTTTTTTTT